CAATTCTTATCTCCAGTCCTCTCCTTTACCTATTTTTTGGCTTTCTTTCCTAGAACCACAAGAGATGCCTACCTATTCCTTCTTCTGTCTGTGATTTCCCAACTCCACGTACATGTGCATCACTAGGAAGACTTGTTAAATACCCTACTGGGCCCTACCTTAAGTTTCCATTCCAGTAATCTGGAGTGCGACCTGAGAATTTACATTTCTAACAACTTCCCAGGTGCTGCTGATTGGGGGATCACGTTTTTGAGAACCACTGACCTTCTATAACCTTCTCCAAACACTGCCTCCTTCCCTTTGAAGTAACCATCATGGTTTAGCTTTAATGAGGGAGAGCTTCAAGGTTATATTGTATCATCTTGCTGGATGTCTCAATCTGTGAGGTTATTCTTTTGAAAAGGAATCATACAGATCTTGGCTCGAGATTTTCAGGAAATCAAATTATGAACAGTAGGAAAGAGAGGCCACACACAACAGTTAATACTGACAAAAAAATAAACAATAATTTGAAAGTTGTTAATGTGTTTTTCTTTGCCTTTTTAATCATGTTGCCTTTGCCTTGGATTATGTGAGGCAACTGTCTTCTTGGAAGAGTAGGATTTTTTTTTTGGTAGAAAATACTATGGGAATGTTCACATTGACATTCAAAAGTGACATCTGCAGCGAGATGATAGCTTTCTATACTCTCAACTTTTAATTTTTTCTTTGGCATAATTGGGTGATAGGTGAGGTAAAGATACAAAGTAGAAGGGGGAAGCCTTCCCCTTTTTGTCCCTAGAAGATGGTGAGAAGATGACAGAAGGAAAAGTAATTCCCTCTATCCCCCACCCCTCTGTCCCTCAGTGTGGGCTCCAGATGAAGAGAGAATTGAGAGGACAGGAGGCGAGGATCTGAAAGAGGATTGTCAGGCCCTAAAGTACGGCTCAAACTTCAGGAAGGCGACTGCAGTGTAGTAAATTACTTAGTGTGGCTTTGCTACCCATAAGTCATTGTACTCACTGGTGGGATGAGCAACTGAGGAGCTCCTGATTGTAAATGTTATCCACCTGGGTTATTTCTGGTGGGCGTGGCACAACACAATGTTATGGGAGGCTTACTCTTAGGTGCTTAGAATTCTGTTGTTATGATTGGTTGGTTTGACCACTCTGCCCAGCTCAAAAGGAGGTCTTCTAGAGGCAGAACTCTGACTGCTGGTTGAGGGAGACGTGCTGCTGGGAAAAAGACGCAAAAGACACGCGTTGCTGAGTAAGACACCGAGGGACATGCACTGCTGGGGGAGAGACTGTGAGAGACTTGGCTGAGAAATGGTGGACTGGGAGAGAGACTGAGCATTTTTCCTGAACTTGAATTGTAGCCTGGTGCTTCCCTAATAAACCCTGTAATCTATGAGTTTTGTGTGGCTACTGCAGTGAATTATCGAACCCAGGAGAGAGGTGGTGGGTGCTTTGGGAGGAACGGTTGGAGAAGGGGCTGGAGAGAGGCAGCATGTCTGGCCTTGTAGGAATAGGCCTTGGGTTACTGCTGGTAATCCTGTCTTCCTCTTGTAGGGTTAGAGGAGGTCGGAAGATGTGGCCTCCTTGCCCTTTTTGCAGCGATCCACATCAAGTGGGCACAGCAAGGTTCAGCTTTAGGTTATACATACTAGGTTTCTAAGATTGAGCACCTGAAATGAAACCAGTGGGTTGACAGGTTCCCAGGGCACTGGTAGAAGGGTGAGGTGATTCTATAGAGGGTGGACTGGAGAGAGTCGGGTCACAGAGACCGAGGCAGGCAGGAAGGGAGGGAAGGCCATCAGAAAGTTTTGGGTACCACTGTCCCCTGACTGTTGTCCTACTGATTTCCAGTGAAGTGTGTCTTCTTTTGACTTGGTTGTTTTACCACTAGGCTTTCACACAATCTTTATATAAAAACCATTGCTGCTGAGTCAATTCCGACTCTAGCAACCCTCCAGGTGCAAATAAAATGACTAAATCATTTCTATTCAAATTGAAACCAAAACAGGTTAACGTGTCTATAATAGTAACCACTGCACCTTCAGGGTTACCTAAAGGTAATGAGCAAATAGAAAAATGACTGCTACTCTAACGGAAAATACCACAAATGTGTGATTTTAACAAACAGGAGTTTTATTCCCTTACAGTTTTGGAAGCCAGAAGTCGAGTTCAAGATGCCAGCTCTAGGAGCTGGGTGAAAGCCCCTTGCCCTTGGACTTCAGCTGTGCTTCTTGCTCCCAGCTCACTGAAGTGGAGTCTTATCTTAGGCAGCTTCTGCCTGCTGAGGCTGGCAAACCCAAGGTTGACAAGTAAAAAGCACAGTCCCAAGATTAAACCAAATGGAAGGCTGCTAGTTTAAGTGGAGAAAGAGTTCCAAGATCAGCAAGGCCAGCATGGCAGGCTGCTAAATGAAGACTCAGCTACATGCAGGGTCCAAATGTGCCAAAAAGCTGCAGATATTCCTCAAAGCTGCTTTTTGCACATGGGAAGTAGACCACATTCCCTAAAGCAGCTACTCAGCTGCTCCAGTAGATTCCACCATGGAGTTGATTATCAGTCTCAACATGGGGAATAACTACATCCAGCTGCCCAACCACTCAAAACCAGGCCAAGCTGACACATAACCTTAACTACTACAACTGTGCAGTTTCCATTATAGCCACTGCACTTCACACTCACACCAACAAAGCAAGAAAAAGCAAGTTACAGAATGCTATACATGTATTTATGTAAAAAAGAAACTATCCAATATATTGTTTCCATGGCTGTATTTAACCAGAAATAAATATTCATTGAAAAAGATCTAGAGGAGAGCTCCCAACTGTTACTTCTAGGGAGGCGACTGGGATTGAAGGTGGGGATCAAAAAGACTTGTCTCTAATGTTTCTACAAGTGCAACATATAATCATAATTCTATAAGTAATTTAAAATGTAAAGAACAAGCTCTATGTACACATTGACACATTTTTAGAATAATATACACCCCCTCCTCACTTATCAACATAGTTAGGTTCCAAAGGCCAGGTCATTATGTGAAAATGGAGGATGACTTCATCAGATCACAAAACGGAGGATGACTACATCATTATATAACTGCCAAATTACATCATTATATAACTGCCAAACCACTGAGAATCATGGCCCTGCAAACTGATACATAATCTTAACCATCAGTCTGCATCACTCTCATCTTGCATCTTGACGTTCATTACTGGGAGACATGCATTGTTAATGCACAAAATAGTTGGGCAGGTTTTTTACTATTATCATAAATGCAGAATGTCAGATACTGAGATAGTTGATAAGTAAAGAGTAGGTATACATGCAAAAATTAAACTATTTCTTTCATCTTCCCTCTTTCCATTGCAATTGTACAGAATAGGTTCTGGAAGATTACCTGCTATAATACATTTAAAGATAGATATCTCCAATAAAAACAATACACTCAATTCTTGTGTTCTCATTTTTAAAAAAGAAAATTTAGTTCACGATTTATAAAATATCAGTTTAGGGCTCTTAATATTTAGCTATTTACAGTCTTTACATAATACATGATTATACTGTCATATTTTTAGAATACAACATTTGGGGAAGAGGAAATAGTTTTTAGAATTAGAATTTTAATCACTATTAACAAAGGTTTTAGTAAGTCTAAAATAAAATTGAGTATAAAATCTTATTATTTTCTTAGCAGTTTACTAATTCTACCTTACACCATTGTATAAAAACACTTTAACATTAAAGGTATCCTTGGGTCAACTCAAGGAGCTCTGGTGGGGCTGTGTTAAAGCACTGGGCTGCTAACCAAAAGGTCAGTGGTTTGAACCTATCAGCCTCTCCATAGGAGAAAGATGAGGCAGTCTGCTTCTGTAAAGATTTATAGCGTTGGAAACCCTATGGGGCAGTTCTACTGACTTACAGGGTCCCTATGAGTCGGAATCAATTCAATAGCAGTGGGTTAGGTCAACTTCATATGAGCACTCCTCCTTTTCAAGATTATTCTGCAAAACCCTTTTTCCTTAATGTTTTACTAGAATGACATCAGCGTTCAAATCCAATGAGTCTGTGTTTTATTAATGATACAAACCAAAATTCACCGAGTTGGAATTCATGCAATGGTACTGGGTTTGGTTTTGGTTCTTTAAGAACTGCTCATATTTAATTCACATACTGCTAAAATATTGAACCATGAAAATAATGATGATGAGATAAGAGAAAATCTCAAAGCCATTGAGTTTTGAGATTGTTGTGATAGAAAGTACAGTTAGCTATTTCTTCCCAGTTTTAAAAGGTCATCAGGGAGGAATAAACATTTTGAAGGACAACTTTCCAAGGAATTTGGAATTTCCCTTACCTATTCTAGGTATTTGCTCAAATATCTCCAAAATCAATTGGCCTCAGACAAGCGCCTCCCATATTCTTGATTCAAGAAAGATTTCCTTTAGAAAGGCTCCAATGGAGAGAGCATTAGGCCACTGGTAGAATTTCTGCATCTGTCACTGAGCAGATCTAGTGGGCCTCCCCTTCTGCAATGTGAAAGGTTGCACTGGATGAAGTCTTACATCCTGTCAGCTCTAAAAGTCAGCTACGTCAACTATTCATGTTTTCATCATAGGCCATTAAGGAAAGAAACACTCTTGTCCTTCCCATCATGAAAGCACTTTTATAACAACAGTATGTATCAGGACTCTTCAACTTAATTTAGCAGTATTTTACACTAACTACCCCACATCTCTTTTATGTAACAGATATTCAGAAAGCATAAATGGGTGATATTACAAAAGTCATATACAAATAGCTGGTGTGAACAGACTCATATAAAAAATCATTTGAGTAGATTGTTTAAATCTTCCAAACAAAAGGCAAGTACAATGAAGAAATACTAACTAGTCAATAGAGCTAGCATTTATTTTCTCTTTACACTGAAACTTGGAAAATAACATGAGTTAAATGTAGCTAATTTTATATTAAAGTCTCTGGTTTATTTACTCTCTTAAATTATTTTTATAACAAAGCACTTTTTATATAATTTAAAACACACATGCTTTGATTGAAGAGTGACTGTAAACGGATCCAGTTTTCTTCCACTTGTGATGACAACTTTGTAATTTCTTCTAGGAGTACTGGTTCTGAAGGAAGCATTTTAAGGTGTAACTGAAAAAAAAAGTATAGTTGAACATTTAATCTAAAACAATTACATTTTTGTTGATCTTGGACTGAGCTTTTTTCCCAAGGACCTTCAGGAGATACTATCTGAATTTTATTTCCTTAAACACTAGTTTATTACTACTATCTCTCGTTTCCCACTCTGTTTTCAAACCTTTTAAATCATGAGCTCCTTTATGGTATTGCCACTCCCTTAACAGTAATGAAATGTCTTACTCTTTTACCTATGTTGTTGTTGTTGTTTGCCGTCGAGTCGGCCCTGACTCATAGCGACCCCTCCTTGGGTTTCTGAGGCAGTATCACTACGGAAGTAGGATTGCCCAACCTTCCTTCCGAGGAGTGGCTGGTGGGTTTGAACCGCCAGCCTTCTGGTTAGCAGTCAAGTGCCTTAGGCACTATGCTACCAGAGCTCTCCCAATATAGATCCTGAAAGAAACTCCTAGTTTTAACACTAAATCCATACTTCTGTGCTTCTGTAAGTTTTTGCACCAGACATCAGTCAGTCTGTCAGGCTGTGACAGACTTGAGGCTTGAGTGTTGCTGTGATGCTGGAGGTTATTTCAAATACCAGCAAGGTCACCCATGGTGGACAGGATTAAGTGGTGCTTCCAGACCAAGACAGAACAGGAAGGAGGATTGGCCATCTACTTCTAAAAACACTGGCCAGTGAAAACCTTATGAATAGCAGAACACTGTCTGATATAGTGCTGGAACATGACCCACTCAGGTCAGAAGGCTCTTAAAACATGAATGGGGAAGAGGTGCCTCCTTAGAGTCAAACTTCATGATGTGGATGATTAAGACATTGGGACCTTGAAGGACACCTTCATTTGCTTAGGACACCATTTTCTTAGGTCACCTTAATTTGCTGGTATGGAATGACTCAAAATGAGAAGAAACAGCTGCAAATATCTATTAATAATTGGAACATGGAATGTAAAAAGTATGAATATAGAAAATTGGAAGTTGTCACAAATGAAACACAGAGAACCGATATCCTACATGAGTGAGCTGAAATGGATGGGTATTGATCATTGTGAATCAATCATATGACCTCCTACTATGCTAGAAATGATAAAATGAAGAGGAATGGGGTTGTGTTCATTGTCAAAAAGCACATTTCAAGATCTATCCTGAAGCACAACATTGTCAGTGATAGGATAATATTCATATGCCTACAAGGAAGACCAGTAAATACCACTATTATTCAAATTTACACACCAACCACTAATGCCAAGGATAGAGGAATTAAAGATTTTTACCAACTTCTGCCTTCTGAAATTGATAAAAAATGCAATAAAGGTAGATTAAGAATTACTGCTGATTAGAATGTAAAAGTCAGAAACAAAGAGGGATCCGTAGCTGGAAAACATAGCCTTA